TCAGCGCGTTACACAACCGGAGAAAGAGCGATCGTCTGCGGGCGGCCCGGTGGAGAGCGGGCGGGGGGAACCGGGGCCGCCTTCGGCCTCCTCGAGGCCACGCGCGTGGGCGCCGCCACTCAAACCAAACATTTTTTTTTTTTGAAAAAATTACTTCAAAACCAGGGAAAACCACCCCGAAACAGCCGCTCCAGCGCTTCACAGCGCGCCCGGGAAGGAGTTTGGGGGTCACCCCCGTCCCCGGCCTTTGGGGTGAGAAAATAGCCCCAAAAAAGGCAGTTTTGGCCCCATTTTGGGGGTGAGGGAAAGACAGCAAGGCCCCCAAAGTGCCGAGATTGGGTTTTTTTTTGGGGGGGAGATGTGCAAGGCTGAGGTGGCACTGAGGGGGAGACACCCCCCCCCCGGCCATACTGGGGTCCGGCCAGGTCACGTCACGGCGTGAGCTCTTGGCACGATTTTGACCCAGTTCCTGTCAATTTACCCCCAAATCAAGTTATTAAATAACGTAAAACTCTCTCGGCCAGTCGGCAGCAGCCGAGTCCTCCCCGCGCCGCAATTCCCCCCTCAAATAAATTGATTTCTAATGTCAGAGGTGGGGTGAGGCGATGCGACGTCAGGCCCTAAATGAGGCAGGTGAGTTAATTGCGGGGGGGGGGGGGGGGGGGGGGGTCGATAGCGTTAGACCCCGGGGGTCGCTTGCCCCGTCCTCACCCAGGGGTGCTGCCCCCCCCAGATATTCCCTCCTGGGAGTGTTTTGGGATATATTCAACTACGTAGGGTTTTGGGGTGTTGGGTTTTGTTTTGGTGTTTTTTTTTTTTTTTTTAATTGAAAAAAATTCACTCCGTGGTCGTGCAACGCGCTGGGTAAGGCGTAATTAAAACCAAAAATAATAATTTTATTCCAATTAAAGACGTTACAGGGACGTCTCCTCTCATTTTTCCTCCCCAGCGAACAACTCCTCCTTTTTCCCCCCAGCTTTGGAGCGTTGGGAACACTAGGTTCTTTTAAAATTAGTATTTTTACCTATTTTATAGTTCTTAATGACTTTATTTAAAGCTGGCTCTACCCCAGCGCCGTTTTTGGGGTTTTTTTTTTTGGGCGAGGTGTGGGTTTGGGGCTGGGAGCCGGGAACGTGACGGCCAGCAGCGTGTCGATGGGGGCAGGAATTAAAAAGAAATTTGCTCTCGTAACGAAGAAATCTGATGCGCTGCCGGCCGGGCTTAACTCCCCGCTGCCGAAATGGAGCCAGAGCCGCGCTCCCTCCGCTTTTCCATCTTTAATAACGACTCCGTTAGAGAAATTTGGGTTAGAAATGATTAATTTTTTCCAAGGTAATTAATTGCAGGAAGAATTTGCTGTGCTCTGATGGGCGATGCTTAAATCCAGAGTGTGTTTTGCGAGGAGGGGGGGAAAAAAAGGGATTTTTTTACTGAAGCAGCTGGCGGTGGTGATGCTGGGGGTGCTGGGAGGTGGGGGATGAGCTCGCCCCTCCACCCTTAAATCTGATTTTTAATATTATTAAAGCGGGACGTGCTTTTCTGCCCACGGAGCTGGGCTTCTGCGGCTCTTTGCATGCAAAAACACCTCCCGGGCTCGTCGCAGACGCTGTTGCGGTTGCAAAACTCGGGAGGAATCGTGTCGCCGTCCCTAGCTGACCTTTCAGGAAAAAAAAAATAATAATAAAACATAACACTGCTCCGACTCCGCTTCCCCTCACCGTGAGTTTTCTCCGATAATCCCTCCAAAATCTCACCTGAAACCCCACGGTGCTGGTGTTGCCCCCCCTCTTCGACGGCAGAAAGTCCCCCCCGGGTGGGTACCCGCCGGCGCTGTGGCGCACGCCGTGGCTTTGGAAGCGGGTTTTACCCGGCCCTCGGTGGGTGCGTAAGTTTTTCCTGGGCTGGGAGCCAGCGTGCAGCCGCCTTGTCCCGGGCACTGCCCGGATCCGGGTGTCTTCCCTCCGGCCGGCGTGCGGGGTGCTGCACCCCCTCCTGCCATCGCCCCCTGCGCCCGTCCCGCCATGGGACCTCTCGCAGTCGGCCTCTGGGGTGCTCGGTGAAGCCTCGTGGCTCATTTTTATGGGCTCTTTTTAAATGTGGGTTTTCCTGGGAGGCCTTTTAAAAAATATTATTATTATTTTCTAAAGGGTTTGTTCACTTTGCTGCTCCATGAGACAGGCAGCACCCAAAGTAGTCTTGTGTTGGAAGGGGGGAAAAAAAGAAAATGGGTAAAAAAAAAAAGAGTTGTAAAGCCAAATGCAGCCTGTGGCAGGGTTGGGGGGCTGCTGTCACCCCACAGGTCCACATCTTCGAGCGTCCTGGCTGCTGCGTTCGAGCGGTGAAGGAGGCAGGGGGGCGAGAAGGAGAAAAAAAAAAAAAGAAAACACAAATTTATTAAAATTAGAAGCGCTGCTCTTACCTTCCTATGGGGTAGAGGAGTTAGGAAGGAGGAAAGAAACCCAACATCACACAAGTGTTGGGTATATCCAGGCTGTAAAGAAGTCCATTGCACAAAAGCAAGGAGGGGAAGCCTGTTGGTGTTTTTTTTTTTTTTCCCCCTAAACTCCAAATAAAGCTGCTGTTTTCTGCAAGCAGTTAAAAAAAAAAAAAAAAAAACCCACAAAAAAAAAAAAACCCCCAAACCCAAAAAACCCCCC